GCTGTGTAGTTGAAATCTAGTTTTTAGTCACTTTACAGAAGGCTTAGGAGTAAGAAAGATGAGCTATATGGCCTTGGACAATTTTTCCCCCAAATAAACCTTTTATTTAATGAGTACAAATTTCGTAAGTACAACTTCAGAAATACAGTGATTCTTCCCACCATACCCGCCCTCCCGCCCCCACTCCTACCCCACCTCCTCCCCTTTCTGCCATCCCCTGTCCCATTCTCTATTAAGATTCGTTCTCGGCCAGTGCCGTGGCTCACTTGGCTAATCCTCCGCCTGCGGCACCAGCACCCCAGGTTCTAGTCCCGGTTGGGGTGCCGGGTACTAGTCCTGGTTGCTCCTCTTCCAGACCAGCTCTCTGCTGTGGCCTGGGAGGGCAGTGAGGATGCCCAAGTGCTTTGGGGTCCCCTGCACCCACATGGGAAGAAAAGGGAGGGAAAGTACCCGGGCTCCTGGGCTTTTGGATCGGCACAGCACTGGCCGTAGTGGCCATTAGGGGAGTGAACCGATGGAAGGAAGACCTTTCTGTCTCTCTCTCTGTCTATAACTCTCTCTCTGTCTCTCACTGTCTAACTCTGCCTGGCAAAAAAAAAAAAAAAAAAAAAAAAATTCATTATCAATTAACTTTATACACAGAAGACCAACTGTATACTAAGTAAAGTTTCCAACAATTTGCACACACACACACACACACACAAACTATTTGAGAACAAGTTTTACAGTTGATTCTCATAATACAACTCATTGAGGACAGAGGTCCTGCATGGGAAGTAAGTGCACAGTGACTGCTGTTGTTAATTTAACAATTAACACTCTTATGTATATCAGTGATCACCCAAGGCTCTTGACATGAGCTGCCACAACAATGGAAGCCTTTTGAATCCACAATCTCTGTCAGTATTTAGACAAGGCCATAGGCAAAGTGGAAGTTCTCTCCTCCCTTTAAAGAAAAGTACATCCTTCTTTGATGGCTACTTCTTTCCACTGGGGTCTCACTCACAGAGATACTTCATGTAGGACCTTTTTTTGCCACAGTGTCTTGGCTTTCCATGCCTGAAATGCTCTTGTGGGCTTTTCAGCCAGACCAGAATGCCTTAAAGACTGATTCTGAGGTCAGAGTGCTGTTTAGAGCAATTGTCATTCTATGATTCTCCTCTGTGGGCTGCTTCCTTGGACAATTTTTACTCCTCTTTTTTTCATCTATAAAATAAGGAAAATGGTGTCTACTACATGAACTTGTTTCAAGGTTTAAATGAATCAATGTATGTAAGGCACATCAGACAGCACTTGCTACACAAAAACAAATGGCATTTGCTGAGTACTTACTATTATGAGGTGCAAGATCAAGTAAGCCAATGGTTCTATTTCCTCACTTTTCACTTTTCATATATATCTGAAGTTTGGAAAAGATTTGTCTTCCTCTGCTCTTTTCTCCTTTAACTTATTATGTAAATAGATATTCACTTCACCACTACAGAACCCCAAACAGCACCTTGGTGACAGGTGGCTACTTGGCCAGATGATTCTGGGAAGGGTTCTGACTGCCTTGGGTCGCAAAGCCTGTCCATATAGATCGAGTCTGACATTTGGCTCAGAGGCCTAGATAAGGAAAGTGGGATTTATCTGGGCTTCCAAACCTTCCTATTATGACCATGGAAATAGCTGGCTGAATAACCATGGCCCAGCAAGGCTATACTGACTTTCCACAGCCCCTCCCAAGGATATTTTAAGTCAACTTGACCCTGAGAAGTGGCTGGGGAGACACAGGCTTGCATGCCAAGAAGCAATGTCAGCTTTCATTTGCAAACATTCTGGTGGCTGTTTAGGCTACAACATTGACACCTGCTTCTTCTCTCAGAGTACAGTTGGGCTGATTTCCTTGCTGTTATCCATTTCTGGTTAGAGAGACTAGCTACCAGGGCACATGTGAACTGGGCGCTCCTCCTGAAGGAAGAGATTGATGTTTGCTTTCTTGTCTGCACAGAAGCTAAATCACACTGGCCTCACCTAGTCCTTCCCTCTGGTCATATAAATCCCAGCATTGATGGCAAATAAAAATGACTCTTCTGAAATAAGCATTTGTACTCCTGAGCAGCTGTCCTCCAGATCAAATAAGTGTTTCTTTAATGCCAGGTTATGAGGCCTGGTTGTAGTGTCATATGACTAATTTCTAAAAATCAAAAATTCCAAAGCTTATGAAAATGAACAACTGTTCTTCAGAATAGTTACCTTGAAAAGGCCAGAAGTGACTGATTGCAGCAATGCTGTGGTTATGCAAAATAGTTCAGATCTCCTCTTCTGGAAGTGTTCCCTTCCTAGGTTTATAGGCCTCAGGAGCAAATCAGTGTCCCTGCTTTCCAGGCCCATCATAACTTAGACCCCAAGCAGTATCAGTCATTTTGGTCTCTCACCTCATTTTCCATATTTGATTCTCAGTGGACTGATACTACAAAATCGATTGTATCTTGTCACAGGACAAGGACCTGTCTCCATTAAAAATGTATACCCAAAAATTCTAGAGGTACTTCTAAAACAAGAATTAATACCATTCTGTAAATTAAAGGAGCAAAGAGATAGCCCTTCATACTATAATAGGACAACAATTACATTGATAAGTTATAGTAATATTTCTCATATTATTACATTGTATTTTTCAAGCCATGAAAAATTGCCCTGATTGTTTTTTCATTTGCTGATGGTCCTGAAACATAGCACCCTATACCCTGTACTCCACTCACAGTAGAAGCAGACTGAGGTTACTCTGTAACTAGATAAAAGTAACTTTTGCATATGTAGCATTATTAACTCACAGTCCATTCAACCTAGAGTCTATTACATAATCCAGAGGACAATCTGCATCTTTTTAATTTCTACTTAATCAGTTTACATTTCAATGGATTTTGCTGTTTATTTCCCTTTCCCCCAGTTGATAAGAGATTTGAAATGCTAATATCCATGTACCTAATTCTCAGTGGGTATGGCCCTTGGGAGGAGTGACCCTGCAACTGTGCCAGAATACTCCTGCCAACTTAGTGTCACTTGAGAAGCTCTGTGAGCACTTTCCCGACTTCCTCATCCACGTGCCTCATGAAGACATGAAACGGTACTGGAGCCAGGGGCATGCCTTTTGCATGATTTCCTTCGCATCTCCTAAGTTGATACTATCCTCCTTTTGTATAGACAGCATTCCCCTAATTTGGGGAGAAGCCATCCACCAGGATACTGACTGTTAACTTTAACAGGTAAAGGAGGCCTCAACCCCTCTATTTCAATGGCCGTCCTTCCCGGAGTTTACTTCTCCTCAGTTTAGGCCTCCCCTTTACTACGATACAAGAACAAGAGCTGTAAAGAACAACAATCTGTCCCCTTCCGCACCTAGCTTCCTGCAGAAGGGCCAGGCTTCTGAAGCCATTAATCATTGTGCGTGGTCGTGGTAACAACTAGTCTGACTTTCACAGGAATCGTGTCCTCATGTTGCTCTCATCTCATCTTCTTTACACTTCCATCTACTTTTCTATTACTCACACTTCTCGGCGACTTGTTCCTTTAAGTCAGCTTCAGGTGGCCAAAGAAATACACTACCCGTTTCCTTCTCTCGCTGGCCGGCTGCTGTCTCCCTGCACACACACACACAGTCCTAATCCGAGCTGTTTTCATAGTCCGGAAGTAGGGGGGGATAGCATGCTTTGCTTCACAGAGAAACTGAAACCTTTCCCTGAACACGCTCTTTCCCGTGTTACTTCCAGTCTGGAACTCAATTCTGACTGCACAATGATTTCCCGGCACTCAGGGGTAAAGGTTTTGCATGTAAATCCTTCATGTAACAGAGACCAGACACCACCAGCTCCTGCCGGGTCGCTTCTAAGGGAAGACACAGCAAGGAACTTCTCAAATACTAGCTCAGGAAACACCTCAAGCACCAAGATCCAACCCAGGCTCTGATGTATGCCAGCTGGCGTCACCTTAATGGAGTTAGCAGCACACTTACCTGTGCTTCGGGATCCCCAGCCCACCCTATTCCTGTTTAGTCCCAGGTGGGGTCCAGGGCTTTGGCTGACAGGTTTTCGGTCCTGTGTGCCGATTCAGATCTCACTGGCGCTAGCAATAGGACCTTGCTTGCACGCAGTATCGGTTCCAATCGAGTGGTAGTGGCAAGAGCCAGGAGGGAACCGGTGTTGATTCCGGCTTTCAACCGGGATCCTGGCTCCACACAGGACCCATGGGTCAGGTCAGCCCCAGGTCGGGTTCGGAGCCGGGTCCAGGTCTCACCTTGACGCAGTCGACGGGGTACATCACGCAATGCTCCAGGATCCCGGCCACGGCGCCCGCCACCATGTGCGTGGTGACAGTGGCTCCAGCAGGCAGCGCCTCGTAGTCCGGACCGGAGTCCGGATCCTGACGTACCGGGGGCCTGCAGGCCCCCGCCTCCCCGCCGCCGGCCCCCCGGCCCACGCCCCGCTGCAGCCACCCGTCCAGCAGTGTCGATTCCCCGGGACTCCGCCCGGGCCCAGATGCCGGCCCCCCCGCCACACTGCCAGCGCCCCGCCCCTCCAACTCCATCCAACCGGGCCAGCTGCGGCGCCCACCCCCGCCGCCACTGCCGCCACTGCCGCCACTGCCGCCGCCCCCGGGCCCCGTCGCGTCCACCTCAGGCACGGCCCAGAGAGCCCGGGGCCTCCGGCTCCCGCTTGGCCCAGCGGACACGCCCCCCAGCCAACCATTGGCGCAGATAACAAGTTAGCCCCACCCCTTTCCTTACGTTGTAAAAATATCTCTGTGGTATTAGCGAAGTTGCCTGTCATTCACCCGCCCTGAGGCGTTGCTACCGTCTAGATCCCACCCTTTCCCCTTTGATCTTGGAAGCTTCTTGTTTATTGGCCACTGATTGGTCGACAGGTAAGATCAGCCCGCCTCAGACTTTTCAGGAGGGCGGGAAAAACTTAAGACTGAACTTTGATAGGCTCAACCACTCTTGATACTTTGGCCGCGGCCATTGGCCCTCACCACGTCTGTCTCCGATTGGCTGCAGAAAGAGACCCGAGCGCCCCGGGACCCTAAGGTGGCCGACTGGGAGCCCCAGGCTGGCGCCTGTGAAGCTAGGGGCGCTAGGGGACCTGGCGGCTCTATCGCACTGGGGACGGTGTGGCGCCAGAGTCTCCAAGGTCAAACCGCTGATGGATGCCGTTACTAGCCGCGCTCCGGCGCGCGCCCCAAGTCCCCGGGCTGTCTTCCCGCGGGATCTTGTGGCGCGCGGGAGGCGGAGCCGGCCGGCCCGGGCATCCCCTGGCACAACCTGCGTGTCTGTGTGGGGAACTATTGCGACACGCAGGCCGGGCCCGACCGGCCGCCGGGCTGGACCGCGGCAGCCCGTTAGACGCCGGTCGGGTCTGGAGGGCCGGGTCCGCGGAAGGATTCCGGAGGACCCGCAGCTCCCTCGGGCAGGACCCGGCGCCGGGCCCCGCAGCCGTTGTCGCTGAGTAAACCGCGCGCTGATTGAATGGATGAGTGCTCCGCGGCCCGGGCTGTGGCCGGGCCCTGGGCCAGGCTGAGGGCTGGGGCGGGAAGGGAGATGTCGAAATGGGGAGGGATGATTCCGAGAGGACAAGTGCGGAGCTCGACTGGCGGCAAGGGGAAAGTCTGGCGACCATGGGCAGGCTCGGACGCACTCCGGTCCGGAGTGCGAAACTTCAGCGTCCGGTCCCTGAGCCGGCGCTGCAGCGAGGGCCCAGACTGAAAAGACCGCCCCTCCCTGCCCGCGGGCGGGCCAGAGTCTTAGGAGCAGCGCCCGCTGGCTGTCGGACAATGCCCGAGAGTCCCAGCTGCTGGACGTTGCCCCGGGGCCAGGCTGCGGCCTCTGAGAACCCCGCGCTTTCTCTACACCCGCGCGGCCGGGCTTCCGAGCGAGTTTGCGCACGCCTGCATGCCCGCTCTCTGCAGCTCGGTCTTTGCCACCTATTTGACTGATGATGCAATTGTGAACTCTCATCTGTTGACCGCGCTTCCTTAAATAGGGAAGAGGTTTTTCTTTTTCTCTGAACTTTTGCCTTTCCCCAGGCCTCCAGTGTTTTGTTTCTTTTTGCTTGTTAACCTTGCATGTCCCCCACCCCTCTTTTAAATCACCTATTCTCTACTTCATCAGTAGCCATTATTAACCTTTGGGTCATGACCTTTGGAAGCTAATGAAACTACAGATCCTGTTATCCCACCTCTCTTCCCGCGTACACACAAAATTTTGCATATAACTTTTGAGTTGCAAAGTCCCTGCAGGTAACTGGTGGAGTCCCATTCAGCATGTTCAATGTTCCCTCTTGTCCATTTGTCACCCTTGAGAAATGAATAGATCTCACAAGAAACCCGCTTAGTCCTGCTGGAGTACTAATTCCTTTTCTCCCAGTTGTCTCCAATAATGACTTTTGCCTTCTCTCTTTAAGCCCTACTTAAAAGATTTATTTATTTATTTGAAGGAGTTTGACACCGAGAGATAAGGAGGGAGGGGAGAGGTCTTCCATCTGTTGGTTCACTCCCAATTGTCTGCAATTACTGGAGCTGCACCAATCCAAAGCCAGGATCTTCTTCTGGGTCTCCCGCATGGGTGCAGGGGCCCAAGGACTTGGGCCATCTTCTATTGCCTTCCCAGGCTGCAGCAGAGAGCTGGATTGGAAGTGGAGCATCCAGGACTCAAACCAGCACCCATATGGGATACTGGCACTGTAGGCAGCATCTTTACCCACTATGCCACAGTGCGGGCCCCATTAACTCTGATTCTGGTAGGGCATATGGGCATCGCAGAGATTTAGCTGCTCCAAACATCTGCCCTCCTTTTTTCCTTCTCATTCAGTGGTCACAGATGGCGTATCCAAATCCAGTGATCTTTTTCTTATTCCCCCTTTTCTTGACTGAGAGATAGTGCTTGCTTCCCTTCGAACCATCCCTTCACTGAAACTTCTTGCTAGCTTTAGAAATCACTGTTTCATTCTGTCTTTTAGAATTCTCAAACTCAGCACTTCTGTAGCCATTGAGGTGAAACATTCATCAAGGTTTAATGCTTCTTGTTTGTTTCTAATGCAAGAACTTTGCCAATTCAAAACTGACTTCCTATCAGAGCCCTATCACTAGTTCCCTTGTGAAATACTTTTTAACAGATGTTTTCATACAACATCCCTTTGGTAAATACTGAGTATCAGTTTGTGCCTGGCACTGCACGTGAAGCCGGGGATACAGGACAGAGTCAGTGCTCTCATGGTGCCTACTTTTTAATGGGGAAGGGGACAGGGGACAGAAAAACAAAAATATTAGATAGTTTGGTTAGCAGAGTTGGGTGGGGTCCTTCATACAAGGAAGAATTCAGATGTGAGACAGAGAAGAGTGGTAAGCAAGGTAGAAGGATTTTATGGAGTAGGACACCTATCAGAACAGATGGGACAGAATCAGAGAGAGTGCCCAGTCACTCAGACTGGGGGAAAGCAAGGTTCAATGGAGAGAATGCACCCAGCAGGCCAGGCAGGTGGCTCAGCAGAGAGCTGAGTGCTGAGAGCACAGTCTGTATTCAGATGGGGTTTATAAGGGGAAGGGGTCCAGTGCTTCCCTCCCGCTTCTTCATTCTCCTCCAGGACAAAGGGTTTGCTGAGTGTGAATTAGGTGAAATTCTTCCCAAGGTTTCACAACTCAGTGCTGTCAGACTGGGGAGCCCCCTGGCTGGGCAGAGGAGCCTCCCCTACTGAACTACCTTGGAGGAAGGATGTAAAGGTTTTATTGCTCCATGTTATCTGGCCAGGTGACCCGCTTGGTGCTGAGGAGAGAGGATGCTCCCTTGTGAGACCACCTGTAAGTTATCAGGGTCTGGGAAGGACTTTGGAGTGTAAAGTCCTGGGCTGCTTCCAAGCTTCTGCAGAGGCTTTGTTTTCCTCAGGCCCCTCACACACACAGGCCAATATCTAACTTCCTACCTCTCAGTTCTAGGTGCTATGCGGTCAATGGAACTAGAGCACTGTGCTGAAGTGTGACTACTGAGAGGCTACATTTGGACGGCCAGAGGACATGGTGCATTCGGAATGACTGGCAGGAACCAGTCATGACAGACGTGGAGAAGAGCATTCCAGGAGAAGAAACAGTAGATGCAACAATCCTGAGAATAAGGTTGGTGCGTGAACCAGTGAGAAGGCCAGCGTGGCCCGAGCATGATGAGTGTGGGGGAAGGTGATACCAGATGAGGTTGGAAAGAAAAGCAGGCGGTGAGTATCTGCCTTAATACTGACTCAGAGTGTCCATTCCAAATTCATTCATTCTACTCGCCCGTCCATCTCTGTCTCACCCCACTGTAACTCATGTTTTTTTTTTTTCCTTTTTAGTGATTTATTTATTTACTTGAAAGAGTTACAAGGCAAAGAGAGAGAGAGCGCGCGTGCGAGAGAGAGGTCTTCCATCTGCTGGTTCACTCCCCAGATGACTGCAGTGCCTGGGGCTGGGCCAGCTGAAGCCAGGAGCCAGGAGCTTCATCTGGGTCTCCCTTGTGGGAGCAGGAGCCCGAGGACTTGGCCATCTTCCTCTGCTTTCTCAGGTGCACTAGTGGGGAGCTGGATCAGAAGGAGAGCGCCAGACTCAAACAGACACCCACAGGAGAGTTGCTGCAGGCAGCGGCTTTACCTGCTACACCATTGCATCCAATGCTTAACTCTTTCAAATAGTTACAGAGAGAGGAGAGACACAGGAGAAATCTCACATCTGCTGATTCACTTCCCAGATGGCTACAGTTGCCCAGACTAGGTCTGGTTGAAGCCAGGAGCCAGGAACTTGATACGGGTCTCTCAAGTGAGTGCAGGTGCCCAAACACTTCGGCCATCTTCCACTTCTTTTATTAGGCCAGTAGCAGGGAGTTGGGACAGAAGTGGAGCAGCCAGGACTCAAACGAGCACCCATATGGGATGTAGGCACTGCAGGTGGCGGCTTTACCCACTATGCCGTAGCTGGATTTAAATCCTAAGCAACACATGCTCTTCCCTAGAATGTATTTCTTCCTTTGTTCTTTTCAAAATTCTCATTTTTGAAGGTCCAAAATTGGTCCCACTTTCACCTCTAGCTTACATTACCCTGTTTTCCTGAACTGCTATCACACATGGCTTGAGGTATCAGTGTGGTATTGAATGATATTGAGGAGTGGGTGTTTGGCACAGTAGTTAAGTCGTAGCTCGGGATACCTGCATATTGGAGTGCCTAGTTCAAGTCCTGGCTACCTGATTTCCAATCCACCTTTCTGCTAGTTTGCACTCAAGGGAGCAGTAGGATGCTGGATCAAATACTTGTATCCCTGACTCCCATGTGGGAGACCCAGATTGAGTTCTGGGCTCCTGGCTTTGGCCTGGCCCAACCCTGGCTGTTAGGAGCATTTAGGGAGAGAACCAGCAGATGGAAAATCTGTTTCTGTCTGTCTTTCTGTATGTGTCTCCCTCCTACTAATAAAATGAAAATAAAGAATTTTAATGAGATTGATTCCAGCAGCTGTACTTAAAAATAAGACTGATTTCTTCCTAGCCACTTAGAGAAATTGATTCCTAAAGGAGAATGAGTAGACCATGAGTGCAGTAGGAATTCCTGGGGCAATCAATGAGGATTGAAGGGCTTAGGAGATAGCATTATGTGTTTCGGCAGTTTTCTTTTTCTTTTCTTTTCTTTTTTTTTTTTTTTTTTTTTTACAGGCAGAGTGGACAGTGAGAGAGAGAGACAGAGAGAAAGGTCTTCCTTTGCCGTTGGTTCACCCTCCAATGGCCGCCACGGCCAGCGCACCGTGCTGGTCCGAAGGCAGGAGCCAGGTGCTTCTCCTGGTCTCCCATGGGGTGCAGGGCCCAAGCACCTGGGCCATCCTCACTGCACTCCTGGGCCACAGTAGAAGGCTGGCCTGGAAGAGGGGCAACCAGGACAGAATCCGGTGCCCCGACCGGGACTAGAACCCAGTGTGCCGGCGCCGCAAGGCAGAGGATTAGCCTATTGAGCCGTGGCGAGGGCCTTTTTTTTTTTTTTTTTTAATAAAGATTTATTTATTTATTTGAAAGACAGAGTTACACAGAAAGAGGAGAGGCAGAGAGAGAGAGAGAGTGGTCTTCCATCCAATGATTCATTCCCCAATTGGCCTCAACGGCCGGAGCTGCACCCATCCGAAGCCAGGAGCTTCTTCCAGGTCTCCCACACAGGTGCAGGGGCCCAAGGACTTGGGCCATCTTCTACTGCTTTCCCAGGCCATAGCAGAGAGCTGAATGGGAAGTGGAGCAGCTGGGTCTTGAACCCATATGGGATGCCAGCGCTTCAGGCCAGGGCATTAACCCGTTGCACCACGGCGCTGGCCCCTCGGCAGTTTTCAAACTGGATTGTGTGTACAGAAAGACTTTTCAAGGGACATGTGGAGAACAAAGCTTCAACAAATCAATTTGCTACTCCACGTTTGCATGTATTCTTTTATATAACTCATTTCCTGAAAAAGCAGTCGAGACGGTTCATTCCTTCCCCCCCCTGCCCAGGCTGTCCTCCCACCTTACAAAAAAGGTATGATGTCACCCATCCTCCATCTCACTCTGGCTGATTCCCCAGGTACATAACAATCTCCAGGTTGTTAGACAAGTCTGGTGTTGACAAAGCCTCAGTCAGTCAGAGTGGAACCAGAGACTTCATATCTTTTCCTGACTTAACTCTATTTCTGTTAAGGGTAAAACAAGGCTTTAAAGAATGCATGTTTTGGTCCTTGTGGGATATTACATGTATGTATAACTGTACAGTGGAAGAGTGGGGTTTTAGTTAACTACATCAGCCATTCCAACCCCTGTCTGTTGTCAAAGAATATCTTGCTTCCGAGGGGGTTACCCAGACAGCAGAGCCAAGAAAGCATAATTACTTGTTAAAGATGGTAAAGCCTTATATCATTCAGGTGGCACACACGAGGCAAGGTCTGTGCTTTATCCATCTTGGGACTCAAATATTCAAGATTCATCATTTTTAGTTTCATGCTGGGAAGTAATAATGTGGAACACAATGAAGTTTTCCCTCTCATCAGAAACAAAGAGGGGTGGGCATTTGGCACAGTTGTTAAACTACTGCTTAGGACTTCTGCATCCCATATCAGAGTCCCTGCGTTCAAGTCCTGGCTCCACTTCTGAAACAGCTTCCTGCTAATGTGTACCGTGGGAGGTAATGGATAACGGCTCAAGTACTTGGGTCCCTGCTACCCACGTTGGAGACCCAGATTGAGTTTCTAGCTCTCGGTTTCAGCCTGACCCAGCCCTGGCTTTGTAGGCATTTGGGGAGTGAACCAGTGGGTGGAAAAAATCTCTGTGTCTATCTGTTTCTCTCTCTGACTCTTTCAAATAAAATGAAAATAAGTCTAAATAAAACCCTTTCCTTTACAAATAAAAAAGAATCAAGAAAGTGCAGAGTGATAGGCTATTTCTCATTTACTCATATCTCAACTTGGGTCTCAAGTTTATATATTTTGCATTACTTCTAGAATTATAGAGAAAACATGTGTTTACATGTTTCACAGATCAACACCATTCCTTTAAGTAAAAGGAAACAATGTCAAAGGTAAATTTATATTTTATATTTTCTTGAATATTCAGGCTTGCAGTAAAGATATTTTCATTTTCCCTCATCGAAAGATTATCAGTTATATCACTTCATACTCACTAGAATATTTATAATCAACAAACAAAACAATTGTTGAAAGGTAACAAACATTGAGAATGTCAGGAAATTGCTGGTAGGAATGCAAAAATCATTCATCCATTGTGGAAAAGTTTGGTGGTGCCTCAAAAAGTTACACATAGAATCACCATATGACACAGCAGTTTCACTCGTAGGTAGACATCCAGAAGAACTGAAAATAGGTATTCTGTACATGTACATGCATGTTCATAACAGCACTTTTCACAGCAGACAAAAATGAAAACAGCCCAAGTGTCCATCACATAAGAATGGATAAATTGTGTGTGTGTATGTGTGTGTATATGAAATGAATATTATTTAGCCACAGAAAGGAATGAAGTAGTGATACATGTTATAATGTGAATGAACCTTGAAAACCTCAAGTGAAGGCAGCCAAATTCATACAGTTACATGTGACTCTGCTTATGTGAAATATCTGGTATAGGTATTATCTATAGACCCAGAATGCATATTGGTGGTCCAGAGATAATATGGACTGAGGAGTGGGAATAACTGCTTAATGAGTATGGGATTTCCTTTTGTAGAGATGAAATGTGTTGGAAGTTGGTAGCAGTAGTGGTTGCACAGCATTATGAATGTACTCAGTGCCACTGACATGTCCAATTTAAGCTGGTTATATTATGCGAATTTCACCTCAATTAAAAAATGGAAAGATTGACTAGTACCCAGAGATGAGCTGAATATCCTTTCAAATGCCTCTGTAACTCAAAGAACAGCTCTAAGCCAGTCATAATATCACTCCTGGGTTGCCTTGCATCAGTCTTCAAGAATGATCTACAAGGTGATCGCGAAGACTTCTTTTTGATTGATGAAAATGTTTAAGAAGTATATTGTGGTGATGTTTGTACAACCCTTGTCTATATCAAAGCCCATTGAGTTAGGTGAATTTTATGATATGTGAATTACATTTCAATAAAGCTTTTTTTAAGTGAAGATCTAATTGGAATACATTGACAGTATCTTTTGGAACTTTAACTTCATCACATTTTAAGAAATAAACTGTTTCTTTGCAAGTCTTTTTAGGGGGGATGGTTACTGCAGTCATACCATAACCCTTTTTTAGAAGTTTCTCCAAAATGAACTTTTTTAAAAAATTTATTCAAGAGGCAGAAAGATAAAACGAGAGAAACGGAGACAGAGAGACACAGTGAGCTCCCATCCAGTGGTTCACTTCCCAAATGCTCAGAGTGGCCAGGGTTGGGCTAAGTCAAATATTGGAACCCAATCCAAGTCTCCCTCATGGGTGGCAGGAGCCGAGTTACTTGAGCCACCACCTGCTGCCTCCCAGTGTCTGCATTAGCAGAAAGCTGGACTCAGGAGCTAGAGCCAGGAATCAAATCCAGGCATTCTGGTATGGGACACAGGACTGGTGTCTTAAGGCTTGACAAAGAAAGCTACCAATTTTGATCTAAGAAATAGATTTCATATCACTTAGGGCTCACAGACAAAAATCTAGGAAAATTAGTTCAGCTTCATTGTGCTTGTCAGGTAGGGAGTTTCAGTTCATTTCATAACCATTCTCAAGTCACTACACATATAGTTAGGGGGAAATTAGATGATTTAGTAAATCCATAGTCATTTAGGCACAAAGTTTCTCACTGCCACTTTTATTCTGTTGATTTATTCATTTCTGTAATAGTCATATTATCTTGATGAAACCTGTTAATTCTACAAATAATGCCCCCAAATAATTTTTTATACCTATTTGTAAGATTTGTACCTACTAGTCACATAATAGTATCTCTTCTTTTTTTCTTTTCACCAAGAAGATAAAACTGCTTTCTTTAAAGTACTTACTTATGTACCTAGCAAGACAAAATGTCTCCAAAGTACAGTATAGGATAAACTTCCCTGAACTTTAAAAAACCATTTCACTGGCCGGCGCCGCGGCTCACTAGGCTAACCCTCCGCCTTGCCGCGCCGGCACACCGGGTTCTAGTCCCGGTCGGGGCACCAGATTCTGTCCCAGTTGCCCCTCTTCCAGGCCAGCTCTCTGCTGTGGCCAGGGAGTGCAGTGGAGGATGGCCCAAGTGCTTGGGCCCTGCACCCCATGGGAGACCAGGAGAAGTACCTGGCTCCTGCCATCGGATCAGCGTGGTGTGCCGGCTGCAGCGCGCCGGCCACGGCGTCCATTGGAGGGTGAACCAACGGCAAAGGAAGACCTTTCTCTCTGTCTCTCTCTCTCTCACTGTCCACTCTGCCTGTCCAAAAAAAAAAAAAAAAAAAAAAAACCATTTCACTGAGAATTCATTACTCCTCAGATGTTGTGTTCTGTTAAATTATAACATTTAATGTCGAGCTTATGAGTTAAGTATTGAATTTATAAATCAGTAGGTAATATTATTATGCTACTAGTTTCTTCACATCTGTAATCTCTTCTTAGCACTTTAAAATGACCTAAATTATTGAAATAGGACTTTGTTCACAGTCAACAAGAAAAATCGTGAAATGCATAGATTCCAATTTTATAGGGTTTGTAACCTAAATTTCATCTAATTTTAGCTACCAAATCAAAATGCTTTTAAATGAAACAGTAACAAGAACAATAATCATCACTTGACAAGTTTTGATAAAAAATTATTCTCAGAGATTCATTTACTCATTTGAAAGACAGGCTTACAGAAAAAGAGGGAGAGACAGACAGATAGATCTTCCATCTGCTGGTTCACTCCCCACATGGCTGTCATGGCTGGGGCAGGAACAAGCAAAAGGCAGGATCCAGGAACTCCATCAGGGTCTCTCAGGTGGGTGGCAGGGGCCCAAGCACTTGGGCCATCTTCCCTTGCCTTTCCAGGCACATTAGCCAGGAGCTGGGTTAGAAATCAAGCGGCCAGGACTCCAGTCGGTGCTCATATGGGATGTCAGCATTGCAGGCAGCAGCTTAACCAACCGCACCACAATGCTGTCCCCTGGTAAAATCTTTTGGGTGATATTTCCAGAGGTAAAGTGGCTATTCCAGTGCATTTGTATTGTTCTGACAGAAGAATTGAGTGAACAGATTTGGCAAAACTCCATCCATTTACTCATTTGTGTCAAAAGTCCTTGGTATTCACAGCTATAATTCAAAAAAAAAGTTGAAATAGAACTCTATTTCACTTTAGCAAAAGAAAACAGTCACCTAATGGTCCATGATATAATTTATAATGTTTCAAAAGCCTCATCCATCTATTAAGAGTGTGGTTCATTAAAATTTTACTTTTTATATAGATAATTATTCATCAAAGTCTTAATTTGATTTTGATGAATAGTTATCTTAGTTACATTATCTTCCCATTATTTTCATGATCTCCCTAACTTGACTGTTCTCTCAGCATATGCCTCAGGCATTCTCTTTTATAGAGCTTACAATGTTGTAGTTTTGCATGTTTTTTAAAGTTACTTCATTAAGATTGGTATCACCAATAGCAAGGCCCATCAGGGAGAGGAACTTTTTTTTTTTTTTTTTTTTTTTTTTTTTTTTTTTTTTTACGGGCAGAGTTAAGCAGTGTGAGAGAGAGACAGAGGAGACAGAGAGAAAAGTCTTCCTTCTGTTGGTTCACCCCCCCAGATGGCTGCTACGGCCGGCACGCTGCGCCGATCCAAAGCTAGGAGCCAGGTGCTTCCTCCTGGTCTCTCATGCGGTGCAGGGCCCAAGCACTTGCACCATCCTCCACTGCCCTCCCGGGCCACAGCAGAGAGCTGGACTGGAAGAGGAGCAACTGGAACAGAACTGGCACCCCAACCGGGACTAGAACCCAGAGTACTGGCGCCACAGGCAGTAGTGAGCCGCGGTGCCAGGCTGAGAGGAACATTTTAAAAAAAAAAAATGGTTGTTTATTTATGTTTATCTACTTGAAATGCAGAGTGATAGAGAAAGAGAGAGAATCTTCCATCTATTGGTTCACTCTTCAAATGCCTACAACAGGCAAGTTTGGGCCAGGCCAAAACAAAAAGCCTGGAATTCCATAAGGGTCTCTCACCTGGGTGATCAGGATCAAAGCACTCAAGTCATCATCTGTTGCCTCCCAGGATGTATTAGCAAGAAGCTGGGTCAGAGTGGAGGAGCCAGAGCTCAAACCAGGAACTCCAATATGAGCTGAGAGTGTCCAAGCCTAACTTTCTGTACCAGGACATCCATCCGAGAACATCTTTCTTACTTATTTTCCCCCCTTGCACCATTTTATCCTCAGAATAGCATAGAACTTGATACATTGTAAATCCTCAGAGGAATTTTTTTGTGTTAATAAATAATGAATGAAATACTCATGGAACCCGAGTCTGAGCTGCTATCTCTCCCCTTAGATGGTGGCAATGACTGGTCCAATGAGCTCCATTTTCCACCCCCTCCCCCCAATCCCATCCTAACCTTCCTAGATGTCCTGCAGTAGTAACCAGGAACACCACCCAGAAGAAAGCAGGGAGCAAAACTCATCCCTTTTCTAATGTTGGCCTTAATTCTGGGAAGTTCTCTTGAAAGTAATAGGCCCAACAGTAAGTTCAGGAGGTAGTATTAGAAATAGAGCCCTGCCAGACCAGGAAAAGCACCTGGCTCCTGGCTCCTGCCATCGGATCAGCGCGGTGCGCCAGCCGCAGCGCGCCGGCCGCGCCAGCCATTGGAGGGTGAACCAACGGCAAAGGAAGACCTTTCTCTCTGTCTCTCTCTCTCACTGTCCACTCTGCCTGTCAAAAAAAAAATAATAAAAAAAAAAGAAAAAAGAAATAGAGCCCTGCCCTACCACCACTCTGTGAGAGTTTATTAAAAAGTAGAGACACTACAAATCCATTTTTTCCCTTTTCTTACCCATGGTTCTCAGAGTACCCATGTGATTTGTAAACATGTAAATATCTAGACCCTTTCTTAGATCTGACCTAACAAGTCATACATCTGGGGGTGAGGAACGGGAATATACAATCTTCTTTTTAAAAATTTATTTATTTGGGCCAGCGCCGCAGCTCAATAGGCTAATCCTCCGCCTGAGGCGCTGGCACACTGGGTTCTAGTCCCAGTCGGGGTGCCGGATTCTGTCCCGGTTGCCCCTCTTCCAGGCCAGCTCTCTGCTGTGGCCCAAAAGTGCAGTGGAGGATGGCCCAAGTGCTTGGGCCCTGCATCCCATGGGAGACCAGAAGAAGCACCTGGATCCTGCCTTCGGACCAGCCCGGTGCACCGGCCGCAGCACGCCAGCCGCAGCGGCCATTGGAGGGTGAACCAACGGCAAAGGAAGACCTTTCTCTCTGTCTCTCTCTCTCAGTGTCCACTCTGCCTGTCAAAAAAAAATTATTTATTTGAAAGGCAGAATTGTAGAGAGAAAAGGAAGCAGAGAAAATCTTCCATCTACTGGTTCACTTCCCAAATGGCAGCAATGGCTAAAGTCAGGAGGCTGAAACTCCATGCAGGTCTGGCACAGGGATGGCAGGTGATCAAGTACTTGGAGCATCTTCCACTGCTTTGCCAGGCATATCAGCAGAGGGAGCTGGATCTTGTGGAGCAGCTGGGTCTCAAACTGGTGCCCATATGTGAAGCTGATGTGGCAGGTAGCAGCTTAACCTGCTGTGCATTTTACACACAAGTTATCCTAAAATAGGTGATCCACAAACCACACTTTGAGAAATACTGCTTTGTTGTCACCATACCAGATCTAAACACCTGGTTTGGCTATGACTCAGCAGGGCCAGCAAAGCTCAGTGGTGTTAGCCAATTCACTTAGTCTTTCCAACAGCATGTTCAAGGTTTGAACTAGGTGCTGAGGATACAAGGATGAGCAAATCTACACAACCCCTAGTAGAGCTGAGAGTCTGCTGAGGAAGACAGGCACCAACCAGACTCACAAAAGTAAAATTACAACTATAGGGGTGGTGGTGGGGTGTTGGGCAGCTCTGTGGCGTAGCTAGTAAAACTGCCACCTGCAGTGCCGGCGTCCCATATGGGCATCGGAAAATCCCACTACTCCATTTCCCATCCAG